GAGTCCACCCTCCAAGCTCTCCATCTTCGGCTTCAAGATCGCCAAACCTCCACCCACCGCCCTCCAAGCTCGCCGACCTCCAAGCACTCGCTGACCTCCAAGCTTCCTTCTCTTTTCAATCGTGAGCAGGGCAGGGGAACATTGGAGCAACAAGCCGACAGCACAAAAATTGCTTTGGCTCACATCATCAATCTTAAAAACAAGGTAAATCTAAGTTTTAATTTCTATTACTTGAAGTTTTGTTATTTGTGTTAATTTAGGGTTAGGTTTGTATGTTTGGTACACTCAATTTCATCTTCAAATTAAGAACATGGACTGATTTATTGATATAATGAAGTTGATTTTCATTATTAAATTAGATGAAGAGATATTATTCGAGGAAAGAAAAAAACTACTTCTCCGAAAATGGATGAGACGGAATCACGGGGTAGCAAGCAAGCTACAACTTTTCCCCAACCGTGCATACAATCTTCATCAGTAAATCAATCGAGACAGTCACAAGAACCTCAACTTATAGAAGAACTTCAAAGTAAGTCTCCCTCTCTTTCAGAATATGAAATCTCGTCGAGGTTCATTGTAGGCGATGTGTGTAGAACTATTATTATGTAATTGTACGAATCTTGGGTATTATGTTATTGACATCATATTTTCGTTTAAAGTTGACTTTTTTATTGTATAGTCAATATTTTTATTACATGAACAAGCACCCCCTTAGCCAATTTTCTGGCTCCGCCACTGTACTAAAGGTATCACTATCAATATATTAATGCATTAAAAACTTGACTATGATGGAACACTTTCGTTGTCTTTCCAGATAAAGCAATGTGAACAATTATGACAGCAATTCCGATTGATGGTGAACACTTTCACGATCCCACTCTCAATACACTTAATCATGAAAATGTACTCATCAACAGAAAGTAAGGGAGTTTGGACATGGAACATTAACCTCTACTGTGAAATGTTAGCGGATCGACTACAACTTGATGGATATTGTATAAACTGGCGTTACTGCATTTCTCTCTAATTAACATAAACACGTTCATTAAAAAGTTTATCAAGTAGAATGCACAAAGTATATTAACCTAGAGGGTATTTTAGAGTGGTGAACCCATAAATTTCATAGAGAGTATCCTCTTATCAAATTTAAAATTAAAATATTGATAAAAATAATTAAATAATAATATTGTATTTCACAAAATGAAGTATACGACTACTATAAGTTACAACATAATTTTAATATTATGAAAGTGTCATAGAAGAAATTAGAGAAAAATAAACAAAGTAATTAGTATTTAGATGAAATTTTTGAAAAATTGTTATTTAGTTAAACTTTGATTTAGTATAATTGTCAAATTGTTGTTTAGTTAACCTCTTTTGTAACTGGCGGGTTGAGTTAGATGTGTTATTGTCAAAACTCAGCCCGCATTCCATCCGACCTGCATCCAAAACCAAACAATGTCAAATTTTCTGTATAACTATTAATTTATAGATAAGGGTGATATTGGTTTAGTTTTAATTTTTTGTTAAGTACTACTTAATGGATTTCAACCTAAGACCTTCATGTTCAAGACTAGTGGTATAACTTACTCTCTATACTTTTTGATAACACATTTCTATTGTGAGATGGTATAATAGAGAGTGTTTAAAACTATTATGTGAAAAATCTAGAATGTCACTCTTCATAACTTTAACTATCTATTTATAAACATAAACTCATGGGCATCTAACCAAATCCGACTCAATTAAAGCTGGTTGAACTCGGTGTTGACGAGTTTTGGGCCGAGAAAGATTTTTATTTGATTTTGTAATTAGCGGAGTGGCATGTTTATTAATTTGTTAAATAATTCCTCCACCTTCGCTTTCCATCCGACCTACACACAAAAAAAAAAAAAAACGATCCGCCAAAGTGGGTTGAACTTTGTGTTGACGAGTTTTGGGTCGGGACCGAGTTTTAACCCATGTTAACAAGTTTTCGGTCGAGAGTGAGTTTTATCCGATTTTGTATTTAGTGGGTTGGGTCGCGTGTGAATTTGTTAAAAACGCGCCCAACTTTCCATCCTACCCTTGCCCAAAAAACAAAACAATCAACCCGATCAAAAGCGATATGTCACTAATCGCTGAGGTGGCAAGTGTAGGGATGGCAATGGGTCGTCCGCCAAAAAAACCCGGGGGTAAAACCCGCTGGGTTTGAAAAACTCATATCCGCGGGTTCATGGGTACCCGTGGGTTTTTGTGGTAAAAAATTTACAATAACAAGTTTCTTTCAAAATAAAAGTTTAACATTAATTTTCTCATACAAATTATTCATACAAAAAACACCAATCTAGAGCATACAAGCAGACCGCAAATGATCAATACAAATTGTTCAAAATTAAAGATAAACATCTATAAACAATCAGATTAATTGAAAGCTTCTTACTCGTCAACTAAGTTTCTTCGCTCTCCACTTCATAATATCAACTTCATTCTAAACAATTAGAAACAACAAATTATATATGTCTCCACAAACATAAAGAACATTAATTGTTTAAGGAAGATATATTATTTAGAGTATTAAATATACCGGGAAAGTAATTATATGTGTGTGGGCGGGTACCCATGGGGCAGGTTTACCTAAACCCAAACCCAATCCGACCCAGTGAATAGTGTAGCGGGTTTAAACCCGAACCCGGCCCAAAACCCGTCAACGCGGATTTTACCTGCGTTGACCGGGTTGGGTTGGGTGGGTACCCGTGGGTTCGGGTTTTATTGTCATCCCTAGGCAAGTGATCTGTCACAGATCGCTGAGATCTCAAGTGATTCGTAACTGATCGCTTTAATATGAAACAATTTGTTCGAAAAATACCAAAATGCACGTACCTAACTAGTAACTACGTCTAGGTTAATAATGGTACTCCGTCTGGGTTCTTTCAGCCCTCGAGAGGTCTCCGTCAGGGGGACTCCTTGTCCCCTCTCTCGTTTGTGATTTTCATGAAGAGGTTTACAGCGCTCATACAAAGGACTTTCCAGAAGGAAAGATGGAAGGGGTAAAAGTTTCCCCCGAGCTCCCAAGGATCTCATATCTGTTTTTTGCAGACGACTCTTACTTATTTCTTAGAGGTTCTGTATAAGAATGTGAGAACCTGATACGAGAACCTTATCAACATTGTGCTTTAGTAAAAATATATCTCTTCCTGACCAAGATTTTCTTGCTCATATTCTGGGAGTTGGGGGCCGTGGGGGTCCACGATAAATATCTAGGGTTGCCAGCGATGATAGCCCAAACGAAAATGGCTACTTCACGATTTTGGGAAGAAAAGTTGTTGGATCGGCTTCACGATAGTTGCAAAGGACACGATCTTGGGCAGCCAACGAGAAATTTATTAAATCAGTGGCTTCAGCTCTGCCATTACATGCCATGTCTTGTTTCAAGCTCCCTCTTTCTCTCTTTGTCGAATCTAAGACAAACACATAGCCAGATTTTGGTGGGCTGTTCAGGCTGGCCATTCCCGAATTCGATGGATGTATTGACAGAACATGTGTCGAAGTAAACACGATGGGGGGAATGGGGTTTCGCCGCTTCAAGCATCCTAAACGAACCCTAGTCGCTCCTAACCCAAGTTTACAAGAGGAAATATTTTTCAATAGTGACCTTCCTCACTACTACTCCGCGATCTCGCCTATCTTAGTGATGGTAGAGTATCCTATTTGGACGACAGTTGTTAGTGAAGGGGCTACGGTGGCAGATTGGTAATGAGCGGACGACTTTGATGCTACACTCAAATTGGATTCTTCGGCCAGACCCTCATACCCTTATACATAATCCCCAGGTGTTATCGGAGGACGGGGATCTGAAGGTGTCAGAGGTGATATGCCAAGGAGAGGGGCGAAGGTGTGACATCAAACTCAGCCAATGATTTGACCCGGGTACTTGTCGTGCCATCAAAGCAATCCCTCTTGCTCGTCAGGATATTAAGAGCCAGTGGTTTGACACGAGTAACGAGATTTTCACTGTAAAATCGGCTTGTCATCTAGTAGTCTTGCTATATGAGCAAATAGGTCGGTGGCGACCTATGGCTAGTTGGATGGATAGGTCAAGTTGGATCCGGTTGTGTGAAGCCCAGATTCCACCCAAACTTAAGGTGTTTTTATGGCAAATATTCCACCAGATTTTCCCAACGATGGAAGCCCTAATTGAGAAGGAAGTTCAGGTGCTTCCCAGGTGCCCGGTTTGTTTCGCAGATTCAGAAACAGTGGAACATATATTTGTTGGTGGCCGTGTGAAAAGGGTAATATGGGATCATTCGGGTCTCGAATATCTTGGACAAGGTTTGCCTCTTCACACTTTTCCGCTCTTTCTTAAAAAGTTGATGGTACTTATACATCAACCACAACTGTTTATGACGGTTGTCGCGGTCCTTTGGAGGATTTGGAGGTCACAAAATTGGGTTGTATTTGAGGGCAAACAATTTGGCATTCCAACTTTGATGCGACAATTTCACCAATAGTATCAAGAGTGTATTAGGTTTCCTATCGACAGCGTTGTGCGGCCATCCAACCCATAGGCGAGTTACTTGAGTGGCAGGGACCCTAATTCAGTTATTTGCATGTGGCATAGGGTGACGAAGAGTGGATCCCATTCAGTAGGGGGTATGATTATAAAAAACCAAGAAGGAATGGTCTTTTGGAAAAAGGGGTGCAATTTGCTGAGATTGCTAATCCTATGGTGGTTGAACTTCTGGTTCTCCGAGAAGCCATTTTGTGGTGTCTGGAGAATGGGTCGCAGAGACGAGGTTGGAAGGAAATGCCAAAATGATCATTGATAAAATCAATCAGGCAGATGCCCGTTATAATTGGACAGGTGCCATCCTAGAGAAATTCTAGCATTGGTTGGCTCTTCACACTAGGCTTAATGCGTGATTTGTAGGTCGGAGTAGTAATAGTGTAGCCCATTTGGTAGGTTAAAATGTCCTCTCATTGTACCCGACTACGTGTCGTTTCTTTAAATTTTTGGGCTGTCTAAATTTCAGGATATATTGATCTATTGTTTCAATCAATATATATAATTATATTTTGTAAAAAAAAAATCACTATCACACTCTCATCTTCCATTTCTCTCTTTCTTAGCAAAAAACCATCCTTGCCATCAATCTACTCCATTCTCTGTTTTTGGCACTTTGTTCATTTGCTGATGAGGAAGACCTTACTTCTTCCAAAATCCAATCCACACACTCACCCGCTCTCTTTATATTCCCTTGTCGCTTTGATAAAGCAAAGCTCGGTAGTCGGTACTGTGTAGCCTCAGCCTTCAGTTGTGTGACCACTTCGTAAAGAAACGCTTTTTCTTTCTTTACTTTTACCCACATTCTCTCCAATCACCACCACCACCACCACCACCAACTCTACCCTCCATTTTACAATTGATGCATTTGTCCACATTCCAGTTGTTTTCTTCCCAGTTATGTTCCCTTCACCTCCAGCCGGGCTGCACAATAATGCAGCAAACCAGAATCAATATGATGAGTATGCGTCCAACAGTGCAGTCATAGCAGCTTCTGCTGTAACCTTATTAAACACGAGCTTCTGAGAATGATAATCACATATAAGTTTCTTTTGACACGTAACCTAGATGTCTGGATTTCTTCTAATCCGGGTTGGTTATTGTTTGTTCCGGAATAAAGACAGCTAAGGCAATGCAGGTGAAAGTAGCAGGGGTAAATAATTCTTTATATACAGAGAGGACAAAGAGTAGGAGGTCCAAGCATATATATTTCCGGTGACTTCGAGCTGCTACTTGGCTTGATAGGGTCCAAACTCGGGTCGAGATTTACAGATCAAGCAGGAATAGAGAGTCCATCCATCAACCTACTAACCAACTTGATTGAACATGCGGCTGAATATATATCCTTTGTCCTCATTCGGCTGGCTATTCCATTGAGCAGGAGATTCCCAACACTTCTGGAACAAACTGGGGGAGCACGGATTCCACATTTTTTTTCCAAAGAATCGATGCACAGAAAGCTCCCCAGTACTTTGCGGCATGCATTCCCGTTAAGCACCAATGCCAATAACTGTTAAGAATGTTTGCATTGTTGTCTTTCGGTCCCTCTCTCACACAAAGAACTAACCACTGCAAACCAGAAAGCAACTGTATGAATGAATGATTGATCAATCGAGTAACAAACGATTTTCTTATGAAGCAGAGTTGAAAATTTCTACTACTAGTACAGGGGGGGCCATTTCCAGCAAGGACATAACACCACGCCCCTTTCAACAGCAAAGACGAGTCTTATTCATCTTGACACATGTGACTAGACCCTAATACAAACACAGCAGAATCCATTAGGGTTTAGGGAATAACGAAAATTGTTATACAGAGTTAAAAATAAAGGCTAAGCAAACTAAGTTCACTAATGCAAACTGAGGAAACACATTCAAACATGACTGCAGCACAATGATCATAAATTATGTCTTACCAGGAGTGGGGTTCACCAGCATTCCACAAAAAGAAAACCAAAACACAAGCTGGCTAACTGTTTGACTGCAATCCACCACCCCCATAATACCGCTTGGTAGTTTCACGTGCAAATTCAGCGAATGTCATTCCGTCTTTTAAACGCGAAGAAAGGGGTGGAACCATTTTATGAATATGCTCCTTCAAATCTTTTGAACCAGGCCTAGAACAAGAGTGCTGCGAGCCATTGTAACCAGAGAGTGAAAATGTTTTGCTCCAAGAAGGCTGTAAAAACACCACAAACGTTTCTCTGCTTAAATAGTCCATCTTCTCTGGCCTGGTTACACAGTGAAGGGTAGGACGGAGTTTTCCCTTCGATATGATATCAGCTGATTCTCCAACTTGAACAATGAAACTTTCTGGAGAAGCTTTCACCATGACCACTGCGTTATTGTTCGGATGAAAGACTTGCAAATACGAATTCCCACCAGGATAAGAGCATTCTTCAGCGTAAGTAACTGAAGGAAGTTGAGATGTGATCCCATTTTCTGACAGATGAGATGGAACAAGAAACATAGGTGCTGTCAGAACAGTGAAGATACCGTAATCATAATGCCATTGCTGCCATAGCTTTTCATGACTGCCATTTTCAACGAATGCAGAGTGTTCTAACTGTCTTTCCGCACTCAACAAGGTATATCCTTTGCTGGTTTTGGCATTACCCATTTTTCTTGATGACCCCAGGTTTCTTCTTGCAGTTTCTTTTCCAAGAACATTGTCAAGGGCTGAATGATAATGTATCAGACGCCCCTTTGCTGTGCCTGATTCAAGCAAGCTCTTCTCCAACTCTTTGCCACCAATTGCTTTATCGCACACTTGCGCAAGACATAATCCTAGCTGCATCATGCGGTGTCCTAGCTCCTTGAAAACATCAGCAAGATTCTTATAGTCATCATCCCCTGACACTGAATCTAAGCAGCTATTGTCAGCGTCCAAATCAGTCCTTGCAAAGCTGCAAGGCGTATAAATAGCTTGACCGGACTCGAGAAATTCAGTGTATTTCAGCTGCATTGCAAAGGAGGATACTTTCCTATCTGGGTTCTTCAATGGAACATCACTCCCCAAGCCACATTCCTGAATACCCGTTAAGATGAAACATTAGAGGAACAAAACATAAAAACCATGGAGTGAAAACCCCCAAAATATTACTCTGTTCAATTTGCATCAGAGAGCAGCAGAAGCAATCTGGAGGCATGCTATAATATCATATATATGTATCGGTTGCAAAGCATAAGCTGTTACATAAAAATCCAAAAATGAAAATTGGAATCTTTTCTCCTTACTTTTGGCTACAGTGTTCAGTTTAGGGTGAGGAGAAGAATATCCTTGGTCAATTTCCTGCCCCAGTAAGATTCCCTCATTCAGCTCAACAATTTCATTTTCCCGCGCATTGCAGCAGAACAAAAATCAGGTGATCCAAACCCGAATTGCAACTTCTGAACACAAGCTCGTCGAGTGAAGAAGCTGGATTTGAGGGGAAAGACGACAAACCTTGAGAATGCGCTTCCGCTGGTCGTTGTCCAGAAGAGCGAGCTTCCTTGCGAGAGGGAGAAGGCGCCTGCGAAGAAGAGAAGCATTAGGGACGCCAGTGATGGAAAGAAGCCCTGAGCCCGACGGACCTAGGGTTTCCATCACCGACCTCCTGACCGTTTCCAGTCTTCGTCGCTCCTCCGGCGAGGGAGTTGAGAGATCATGGTTTAGCTGATTAGGGTGCGCTGTTAAATCAGAAGACATCGCCATTAAATCGGAGTAATGAAGCTCATAGAGCTCCAGCACTTCCCCTTCCTCCATCCCGTCTTACTGTCCAGTCAGTCTCACAGCGGCCAACGCCGACGAAGACGGGAGCCGGAGCCGTTTCAAACGAGAAAGCAGGGTAGTTGGGCCTCTTGTCCATCTATGCCGAAACCGCGGTAGCGACCTGGAATTAATTTGGAATTAATTCTCATAAGAAATGAAATGAGCACTTCTACTTAGGGTGAACAAACACACCCGCAAACCGACCCACCCGTCCAACCCGACCCAACCCACCCGTATTTATCGCTAAATCGAAGGTTTTGGGTTGGGTGAGGGTTTTCTTTTGTACAACCCGCTTCTTTTGGGTTGGGTTTGGATTTTGGATTACACAACCCGTAGAACCCGACCCAACCCGTATTCCAATTATTGGTATGAGTTCGTATCCAAAAAAATATTTATGTCATATATAGTCATACTTATGAGAAAATTAAGATATTTCGCCATGTTTTTCTCTTAAAGTCTCACTAATCTAATGCATTCTTCGACTTAAAGTTTAGACATATATTTAATGTAGCTATGATTCAAGTAATTTTTTCTTCTTGTGTACAATTTTAAAAGAACATCATATTATGGATGCGTTCATTTGTAACCTTTTTAGCCTATTTCAACAAATGTCGTGAAAAAAACTAGACATAAGTTGAAGTTAATAAAGTTTTATTAAAATTCAAACAATATTTGTGAATTTTGATACCTTTCACCTCAGTTTATTCGTGTGAATTTTTAATTTGTTATAAAATATTTTTATGATGTAGAATAATTACATATTTTGTGTTGGGTTGGGTTTTTACTTAAAAATATCGCCAACCCGACCCAACCCAATTAGAAACAAACCGTAGGGTTTAGATTTTTTTGGGTGGGTTTGGGTTTAATATTTCCCAAACCGTAGTGCATGGGTCGGGTGATTAAAATGCCTAAACCCGAACCAACCGACCCATGTACACCCCTACTTCTACTATGCTATATAGTATTGGTGCTTTAATGTACAACTTAAAGTTGTACCATAATATTAAATGTATAAGTTTAGGTTGTACCATAAAGTAATTTGTACCATTATGTTATGGTACAACTTTACAACTTGAAGTTGTACCATAACATAAAGGTACAAGTTCAAATTGTACCATAAAAGAATTTGAACAAAAAGTATAGGTACAATCTGAAGTTGTACCATAACGTAAATGTACAATTTTAAGTTGTACCATAAAAGTAAAATCTTATAGCATCAATACTATATAGCATTGTAAAATTTCTCAAATGAAAGATCTGTAACTAATTTACCTTTCAGTGCACTGAATTTAGCTTCTCGTTTGAATGTATCATTTTGGTTTTATGGTATTTTGAATTAAAATGTTGAATTATTTGATTATATATTCTAAATACATATATTTTAATTACTTACATTTGAAATCCAACTACGGGTCGTTTGAACGAGATAATGCGATGAAGTATTTCAGCCGAAATAATACGTTTGACAAAAATATAACGGAATGTAATATTTTGTCTATGAGGCAATTGAAATAACTCATAGTGAGTTATTTGAAATATCTACTCACTCCCTAGTTATTTAAAAAATAACTCATCTCTCAACCTCTTTTTTCACTCCATCCCTTCTCTAAGTGGTGAAATAACATAATTGTTGAATGTTTTATTCAAACAAGGCAATTGAGCAAATTACCACATTCCAATATGAAATACCCATGAAATGTCACATAATGTATTTGAAATACATGTAATTCAAATTTTTTGCTTGGATACTCATTTGTGATTTGTTTGTATTTCAAATTTTATAATTTTTGTTTTAATTTGGAATTTTCTGTCACTTACTACCAATTTTGGTAAATTGCATTTGGTACCAAATTTATTTTTTCTTACAATTTAGTAGCTAAACTTTCAACGGTTTACAAAAAGGTCCATAATTTTGGTGGTAGAATTACGTTTTGTTACCTTTATATATTTTCTCTCACACAATAGTAAATAAACTTTTAAAATTTTACAAATAGGTTCAATCTTTTGTTACGAGGAATTTCAAATCACTGTTTGTTGAAATGTATTTGAAGTTGACAAGTAATAAACTAGACATGTATTTGGAAATCACCCCATGAATTTGGCCCAAATCTAATGCCAAATGTAATGAATATTCAAACAAATGATTTTGGATTTTTTTAAAGAAATAGCACTGTTTATTATTATTATTTTTTTACAAAAATAGCACCAAACCCCGAAAAATTCCTAAAATAGCACCCACTTCCACAAACCGCCACCCCACCCAGCGGTTTACACGAAAACCGCAGGGTGGTGGCGCGGTTTTCAATCAAAACCGCACGGGTAGGGGGCGTTTTGCTTACCGCATTGGGCTGGGGCGGTTTGGTTGCAAACTGCACTCCCACCCGATGGTTTGTAACATATATTTTTTTCTACATAAATGTCATAAGTGGTTTTGACACAATTGGTTTAGTTGTTTATTGTGTTTAGGAAATAAGAAGTACTAGATTCGAAACACCATCATCCCATATTAAATCATTTTATTTAGTAGAGATTACTAAAAGTAGCATGTGGGGGGGGGGGGGTGGTGGTGGTTCAAACCCAGATAATAAATAGTTAACTAAATTTAGCACACCAACTACACCACCAAACTACGACTCTTCTGTTGAAACAATTACATATTGACAAAGTTTTACTTCTTGAACGCTAAAAATTCTCAATAACTTTGAACAACCATAACTTTGTGCTCCAAAATCCGAACGTCATGAATTTTTTTCATTTTGCATAACTTTTTACGGACTACAATTTTTACTACGAATGAATTTTTATAACAGGAATTATTTTTTGATATACAGGGTTTTGGGAATAACTTTACCTTCCATTTTCACAAATGCACGTACATTCCAAAAAATTATGTCTATAATAAAAGTTGTAGTCCTTAAAAAGTTATGCGAAATGATTTTTTTTTCCATGATGTTCGGATTTTGGAGCACAAAGTTATGGCCGTCCAAAGTTTGACCAAATCGGAAAAAAGCTCGCTCGGGCTAGCAAACGACGTTTTTCGCGACGAAGGCGGGAACAAATCACCTACGGCCATTTGCGGCTTGAAAGATCTCGAAAAGTTACAAGGAATAAAAAAAATCGCTATGTTCGGATACCAGAATACAAAGATACGTTTGTTTGAAGTTTCCACCTAGGTTAGGAATAATCGTAAAAAAAAAAGGCCCATAACCGTTGGGTGGGGCTGCGGTCAACAACCCCCCTACCCAAGCGATTTTGGTAAAAAAACTGCGCCTCGACCTAGTGGTTTTCCTGTAAACCGCTGGGTGGGGTGGCGGTTTTCGCAAAAGGGTGCTATTTTTGGAGTTTTTCGGGATTGTGTGCTATTTTTGTAAAAAAAAAAAATTGACCAGTGTTATTTCTGGAAAAAAATCCAATGATTTTACATTTAGAAATGCAAATCACAAATACCAAATCCAAATCCTTCTATCCAAACACACCCTATTAGGATTTTGGAGATTCCGCTAGTCGGTTATTACAAGGTATCTAACTTTTTCTACTACAAATTTTAGTGAGCTATTTTTCTTTCATTCTAAGTGGTAATTGATTTTTTGGTACAGATAAATAAGATTAATTGTGTTTTTCAAAATGATATCTACGTTTATATATTTTGATCCTACACCTACTCTTACGCTAAGTCTTTGTCTCAATGACTGCTAAATCTCTTCCTTGACAAAGTATAACTCCTCAAGAGATTTCTATACATTCCGCTGGCTCTTCTTTACAGAAGCTATAGGCTGCCCCATGTTCTGAATATTATGACGAATTTATATCCTGGTCTTGTCTTTCACTAAATTTCATCCCGCTTCGAGTTCACCAGTGATGTTCGGAGCAAGTTCTATTTATTTGGGTAAGAAGGGGAAATATAAGATTTCCTTCTTGGTTGGTTAGGGAGAAGGCTCCTGCTTAGTACAACCAGAAAGAATGCAGAGTAAGGCCGGGAAGAGGCCTGTTTTCCGGGGCATAAGCTTGCTGCAATGACACAGCACATTTAAGTAAAGCGCAGTGAACAAGAAACCTGATTTCCGGACAAGCCTGATCACCTCCTTAGCAAACAAGTGCACTCCGACATAGAGCTCTTTGTTGAGACCATCGGTCACTACCAAAATGACTTGAATCAGGGACTCTCTCTCGCCTTAGAACCACCTTAGTCTTTTTTAGGGAGGGGGCATTCGTTTGATGAGAAATAAAAAGGGAATATCGAAAATTCTAGTGGTTGAAACTGAAGCAGCTACTTTCGAAGTAACAGAAAGATAAGCAACGAATGAAGTGGGAGAGTTAAGAGTTAAAAAATAGGATTCCTCACTTCTTTCTCTCTTTGGAACTGGATGGAAAAGACAGAGAGGAGAACAACCCACCGGAAGGGCATACCTCAAGGAGCATCAAACTCGCCCAACAAACATCTATCTGCACAAAGCCAACCTATGGATAGAAAGAAAAAATAAATATTAACAAAAAAGATGATTGGGGAGTGTGAGATACACGGGGGGGGGGGGGGGGGGGGGGGGTGAGCACCAGCCGAACAAACGCAGGGGATGGGCCAACACTGACACTGAGAGACGAAAGCTAGGGGAGCAAATGGGATTAGATACCCCAGAAGTACTAGCCGTAAATGATGGATATTGGGCTCTATGTGTATCAACTTGTGCAGTGTTGTAGCTAACGCGTTAAGTATCTCACCTGGGAAGTACGTTCGCAAGAATGATACTCAAAGGAATTGACGGGGGCCCGCACAAGCAATGGAGCATGTGGTTTAATTAGATATAAAGCGAAGAACCTTACCAGATCTTGACATCTCGTGAATCCTCTTGAAAGAGAGGGGTTCCTTTAGGAACGCGGACACAGGTGGTGCATGGTTATCGTCAGCTCGTGTCATAAATTGTTGGGTTAAGTCCCACAACGAGCGCAACCCTCGTCTTTAGTTTCCACCGTTGAGTTTGGAACCTTGAGAAGACTGTAGGTAATAAGACGTAGGAAAGAAGACAATGTTAGCTTTAATGAGGGTTCTTATAACCCCAATTGTTATAAATGTTATGAGATTAGTAGGGCTCTCCATGTTCCTGGGGTCACACTTGGATAGAAGGGAGTATGTCACCCTTCACCAAAGAAGTCTATATCATGGTGGTAAAGTTTGGTATTACATAAGATTATACCACGTGGTATGATGTACCGTGATGGTATAAACATATCATAGTGTAGAATGGTTGAATACATGGTACTAGAAATATACAAACTGTCATCTACCTCATTCATCATTGATTACCACCAGTTACCACCCCTATACTACGATGGTATGGAGTGGTATATTTTGGTCCTGTAATTTTTTTCATAAATTGGTTGGTCCAATACAATCACGATGAATTTGTTCCTTCTGTGCAAAAAAAAAAAATCAAAGTTAAAAACGAAGGTGGTAGTAGGTTTTACCAAGGTGGTGACGAGTGGTATGAAACTTTTTTCCTCAAAATATATTGAAAATGGATCACAATTTGCAATCGCAACGAACTCTTTTCAACTGTGCGAATTTTTTTCAAATTTTAGTAAGAACAAAGAATAAAATAGTCGATTAAAAAAACTGGAAAAATAAAAAGCCATTAATTATCACCCATTAGATCTGGGCCCTTCTGGCCTCAATCAAAACTAAGTACTCAGATATGTTTATGTAATGTATTCTAAACCTTCAAATGGATGTAGGGATAACATAAGTATAGTGTTATTCCTTGCGTTATCCTAATTACTCCTGGTGGATTTGGGTTGATGGTAAAGTAAAATAATAATTATCCAAAATAATGTATAATAGGGTAGATTCGAGTTGGGTAGTGAGAAAATCATATTCGTCCATATTTTTTTATATTCGATTTCAAATTTTGTTCATACTATCGGGTATCTTAGGATTTTACCCTACCCGATCAGGATGGATTTGCAAGGGTATTCATAATTATGGATATTTTTCATCCCTAAATAGATGTATCATTATAATTATTAAATGGCTTGTTTAGCAAACACCACATCCAAATAACACACATTTTCCCCCAACTAAACATGGTATTTGGTGCCAAATAACACATTTTGTGTGATTTGAGCCAAAATAACACCTCTAAACAATCAATCCAAACAACCCTAAAGAGTTTTGGATGAGTTATTTGTTACCAATGAGTTGGTGCCAGTGAAAAAAGAAAACAAGCAATTTAGTTACATCAAATAACTCAATTGACATGAGTCATTTTATTTGTAAATGATTCATTTTTTCATGACTAAATTTGAATCTTATCACTCCTTTTATTTCATAAATCCAATACATCCCATGAAAAAATAATAAGTCCAATACTAACCTTCTCTATTTTGTCTTCGTAAACTCAATACTTTCAATAATCTTATAGTAAAATTAGTTGTCACTGGGTTAATCGGCACAAGGCAAAATTCATCTTTGGTGTTGGTTGTATAGTGACACGGTACTTGTCCTAGAATACCCTACATAGAGGTAAAATTTTCAAAATTCAAAAGCTGATGTGACTGTTGGGATGACCAAAGCCGATTCCTCTTACCGATGCACGACACGTGTCTGAAGAAGGTATATTTGAAAAGGTTGATGGGAAGCGTTAATTCTTAGGCTGTCCCTCTATATGTTTTTCCGACACGAGGCAATATGCTATGGCCTTGGGTCCTATGCTTAAAGATCTCTCACCAAGCAAAGATCGACTAAGTAGCTGCAAAAACCCACAGCTTTTCTCGCATAAGACGCAAATTTTGGACCAGATGTGAGCTTCATTTGATCAAGAAGGCCACAGGTGGCCCAAACCCATTAATGAAAGCCCGATGTGCAGTCCAAAAGTCTAAGACAATAGAACCGCTAAAGAGATATGATTCGGGAGTCACAAGTAATATCACTAATTGTCGCCGAAGGTGGCTATTGGGGGATGGATCGTTACTAGCAAGCAATGCAGTCAAAATCGCGTTTTAAAACTTTAAAACTTATGATTTTACGCTTTTAGGTCACCAAAACGCTTTCGTTTCTGTTTGAGCCAAAAATGTACTAGGCGGTTATGGGGCTCCGATCTGGACTCCCTCGTCCGATCTCCTCGGGAGTGGAAGGATCTATAAGGTGGGGGGGCGGCTCCCAGGATCTACGCTCCGACGCCCAAGTTAGTACGATATAGGAAGCGGTTTATGGTATGTTGAGAGAGAGAGAGAGAGTTTAGAGAGAGACCTTAGGGTAGAAGTGAGGAGGGGAAAAAGAGGATCCCTAGTTTGGAGGGTTAGGCCTCCTTAAGTGAGCTTGGGCCCAGGACGCCTTGCGGTGAGCTTAGGCCCGTTTATAGTCGTGTAGGCATATTAATCCATATCCCAACAATTGCCCCTTTACTTCTTGTATTATGTAAGAATGGAAGGAGTAACATAATGCGTTAATCGTGTATTAATTTTCCTTACTTACGAATCTGAATGATGCGGTTTGCCCCTTGTGCGAGTTGCGTGATCATTTCCTTTTCCCATTGCTTGGATTCCGATGTCTTGAACCAAAGCTCTCAAGTCGTTAAGAGTTCCTTCGCTAGTCCATTGTTGTTAGCGCTAGTAGACCATAATTGCGACCTAGGTAGGGTGGCCCCCACGACTTGAGAGCTTTAACTCAAGACGCTCTTGTTTCGTGTCTCACCAATGTCGTGTCCATGTTGTCAGGAAGTCATGTGTCTTGTCAGTGTCTTGCTTGTGTGAGGCAAGATCAACTATTCTCTTCTTGCTGATGTTGCCCCCTACTAGGAGGCGTTTCATCTTCCAGCCAGCTATTTCTTTCTTTTCGCGTATCAAGAGGCGTTCTATCTTCCAGGCCTTTTGGAAGGTGTTCTTCCTTAAAGCTTCATAGGAATTTTGATCCTGTTTTTCAGAGGAGCGCTGTTAGTCTTTCTACTTCCTTGGAAGCGCTTTAGTATTTCGGCTTTCTGATAAGCGCTTAATCCTTCAACTTCCTGGGAAGCGCATTGTTCCTTCGCTTCCTGGGAAGCGCATCGCTCTTTGGCTTCCTGGGAAGCGCATTGCTCCTTCGCTTCCTGGGAAGCGCATCGCTCCTTCGGCTTCCTGAGAAGCGCTTTAGTATTTCGGCTTTCTAAGAAGCGCTTAGTCCTCAGCTTCCTGGGAAGCACATTTTTCCTTCGCTTCCTGGGAAGCGCGTTGCTCCTTCGCTTCCTGAGAAGTGCATTGCTCCTTTGCTTTGTGGGAAGAGCTTTGCTCCTCAAGCTTCCTGGGAAACGCATTGCTCCTTCGGCTTCTTAAGAAGTGCATCGCCCCCTCGGCTTCCTGGGAAGCGCATTGCTCCCTCGGCTTCCTGGGAAGCGTTCCCTAGAGGGAGCATCGCTCGGAGGCGGGAAAGCATTCCATAGAGGGAGCATAGCTCGGAGGCGGGAAACATTCCTCGGGGGGAGCCTCGCTCAGAGGCAGTTTGCGAGCCTTGCCCGGTGGCGGAAGACAAGAATCAATCCCCAATGGGTGCATCGCTCGAAAGCGGGAATCTTCGAGCCTAACCCGGAGGCAGGAGGTGTGAGTCTTCGAGTATCCGAGAAAGATGCAAGTGGCTAGGGCCCAATATATTTAAAGTATAAATAGAGCATAGAGAGCGCCTGACATATGTGAAGCGGGTCAGAAGCGGTCCGCGAGGCTCTATAGAGACAAATAAAGCCCATAGGGAATTGATGTGTCTTGCTTTTCTTAGAGCAGCGGCCGCCATAGAAACTAATATAGCCAAGGGCTTGAGAGGGCTTGCGTTTGTGTAGAGGCCGAGTCTTCGATTCGGCGGGTCATTTTTGCTTCTTATTCCGGCTGAGGTGCTGAGCGCTCTTCTTTTTGGCTTCGAGATCGGGTGACTGGTTATAGAGGAGGGAATGGATATCAGCTGATGTTTCCCGGCTTGCGTCTCTCTCTTTCTTTGTTTTTGTGTTCTGCTGATTTCTCCTTGAGCGCTTATGCTTTGGCATATGTTAGCCCTTCAACCGCGTCCCAGCCTGCTCCGTCAGCCTATCTTGGTATGTGTGCCGGTTTGCATTGATAGTCGGGTCCTTTTGCTTTTCGTGACTGTACCCTATTCTGAGGGAAAGTGATAGAGGCCGGCGTGCAGTGACTTGTAATGGTGACTCAGGGGTCTCTTCTAGCTCCAATCGGAGCTCCGGCGACGTAGCTATCTCCGACAGCCGGAATCTGGAAAATCACAAAGCTTTGATTCGTTTCTTGGCTTGGTTGCTTGCTACTGATGCTCCTTTTCCTTTCCCTTGTTTCACGAGGATACGACCAGACTTTAGGGGTGATGGTGGTGCTGGCGGATGCGAGCAATGGGGTGACGGCCGGTGATGGCGAGTACTTCTGTTTGGTTGAGCTCTTCGACTTCTTCATTGTTGTTGGCGACGAATGAATATAGGGAGCTCTTGCATCGAGTTTGTTTGGCGATAGATGAAAATTTTCCAGTCTTGGTCGGCGATAGGAGACGAGGACGCTGATGCCGCTGGTTTCTTCCTTCTCTTCCTTGGCGTAATATCATTGCATCCGCAAGCTGAGTTTGGGGAGAGCTAACGTATTCTCTTAATTTTCCTTTCGTTAGGTGGGGAATTTCCTAGAGAAAGCCGACAACGAGTTTTTTGGAAGAAGCAGTGTGAGACCGGCGGTCGGTTGAATCGTTGTCGCTGCTTGTCGGGGGAGAGAGTCATGCATCGACGGTGAGGATTCTTCATAGTTCCTCCTCCTTCAGAAATCGAATAATGGAATACCAAATCAGAGTCCCACGGTGGGCGCCAATTGTTTGAGCCTAGAATGTACTGGGCGGTTATGGGGCTCCGATCTGGACTCCCTCGTCCAATCTCCTCGGGAGTGGAAGGATCTGTGAGGCAGGGGGCGGCCCCCGGGATCTACGCTCCGACGCCCAAGTTAGTACAATATAGGAAGCAGTTTATGGTATGTAGAGAGAGACCTTAGGGTAGAAGTGAGGAGGGGAAAAAGAGGATCCCCTAGTTTGGAGGGTTAGGCCTCCTTATATAGAGCTTGGGCCTCCTTAAGTGGGCTTGGGCCCAGGACGCCTTGTGGTGGGTTTGGGCCCGTTTATAGTCGTGTAGGCATATTAATCCATATCCCAACAGTTTCCATATAAAAACTTAAGTGTATAAAATTGGACTAAATTGCGCTTATACGCTTCTAGTTCACCAGAAAGCTTTACGTTTTTACGCTTTTAGTTCACTAAATGGGTATTCTTTTCATGAAATTAATTATAAAAAATAATATTTAAAAGTAAATCTCCAACAATATGATGCATTTGAGATGAAAAGATACATACCAAGTACTTGTATGCATTCTCAATTTCAATAGAGTAATCTAATTCACCAGCTAGGCTCTTCCCAAATTCATTAGCATATAGGAAAAAGTGGCTTATTGTTAAATTTTATGTTTACGAACTTATTATTAAGATGTTATAAGTTGCTCTGCTTTAGACATGAATTTCGTGTATTTATTAACTTATTAAAATTATTTGCATTCATATTTTACATAGTATCTGTCCTACTTAATAGATTTTTAGTTATTTTTCAGTATGCGTTCTAGGTAGAATCACGCTTTTGACTGTATTGCTAGCAAGTAGCAAGCCTGATTTAGGGGCAACGCATACCTTGAGTATGAAAACACTATCTAGACCTTGAATTGACCGATCTTTCGGACATGATACTATACTCTAACACTTAAAGATCAAAATCTAGGTGTTAACTCTCCCAATCTTATACTCCAAGATCAATTTAATTAGAAATAATAATCGACGGTTATGATTCATCCAAATATAGGCACAAAAAGGAATGCACCATCTTAGGGTTTATAGATTATGATTTAGATAATTATGACATAGGGTTCACTCATTAAGTGTTAGGGTATAATATCAGACACAAAAATCCTGGTAATGCGAGATCTAGATAGAGTTTCCATACTCGAGGTATTCGTTACCCCGGATTTCACCCGGGGTACCATAGAAGTCACCATATATATATATATATATATCCCGCATGGGTTGCTTCATTATAATTCCATAGGGCTTACCAATGGGTCAGAAAATGGGCAGCACCATCGCCATCAGACCATCTCCAATTAGGGCTGCAAATGAGCCGAGCTTCTCGCGAGCGGCTCGACGTTCGACTCGAGAAAAACTCGTTCGAAACTCGACTCGTTAATAAACGAGCCGAACACAAGCTCACATTTGTTCAGCTCGTGAAGCTCGCGAGCTAGCTCGACTCGGTTGCTTGTTGAGCTAAACTCGTGAGCTGGCTCGTTTAGAGCTCCTGATATGTCTTGACATGTGGCTAGAGAGCCAACTCGATTACCAACTTATGGACGAATCAATCTATATCTTATTTTTTACTTTAAAAAGAAATTATGCATCATAAATTGCTTCGATACTATGAAATAACAAGATTTGGAGTAGTTAAAATTTATTAACTAAATGATATATGATACCAACAAAGTATAATATGAGATTAGGTAACAAAATAAATCATATGTATTATGATATACAAAATGAAGTATCATATAAAAGTTAAGATTTTAATAAACAAGCTAGCTCGAGCTCGACTCGACTCGTTAATAAATGAGCTGAGCTCGAACTCAACTCGTTTATTAAGGAGCCGAGTTCAAACTAGGGTAAAACTCGACTCGACTCGTCTCATTTGCAGCCCTATCTCCAATAAGGGGCGAAAGTGCCCAAATCTAGCACTAAAGCCCCTCCAACAATCATTAAAAAATGCCAAAAAAATTGATCTTTGACCTTTGAGTGCTAAATTTCAAATTTGGCCCGCTGATTGACAAAAAGAGCTAAACCAATAGTGCCCCACCATTTACACGGATGGAACTCCCTGGGAGATTATTACACACGCGTGGAGGGGATCAAATCCATTCACGCGCGTCTATTACACTTACTCCCCTGCGTTGGCAAAGAGAAAGTGGACACTTTTTCCTTTTATGTTGGCTGGCTATATATTAGTTGCCATTTTTTTATTTTAAATTTAGATCCTTATTAGGCTATTATTTACGTAATTAAGAATCTTAATCTTTCTAGGGCTATCATATAAACGGGAGCAGGTGAGTAACTTTGTGGTGAGTAACCCGTCCACATCAGCATGATATCAACATCCTCTCTCTCCTAGAAAGCCTTTAATTTTCTCATCTTTAATCTTTGACGGACGATTTCTCGCGCATTTTAAGTTGAAATTTAATTTTTTTTGTACAGTTAGATCAGATTAATTGTGCTCTTCAAAATGATATCCACTTTAATATATTTTTTGAACAAAAAAAATTGAGCCATTTTTTACCAGTCTATACCATATGGTATTGACTAGTATCGAAATAAAAACATACCTATGGTTTGAAAAAAGTACCATGGTGGTATGAACAAACCAAGACTGTAGGATGGTTGAGTACATGATAGTAGAAATATATTAATGTCATTTACACTTTTAACATTGTATACCACAAGATACCACCCCGTACCAGGGTGGTATTGTGTGGTATTTTTTTGTCCTGTAATTTGTTCAATCATAAATTTGTAGATCCAATAGATCATGATGAACTCGTCCCTTCTGTGCAAATGTTTTCAAAAACGAATTAAAAACGAAGAAGATACCATACAATACCACCCCGTACCAGGGTGGTATTGTATGGTATTGTGTGGTATTTTTTGATCCTATAATTTTTTCACCCAAAAATTTGTAGATCCAATATATCATGATGAACTCGTCCCTTCTGTGCAAACGTTTTCAAAAACGAATTAAAAATGAAGAAAATATCATATGGTATGCAGTTGGTACCGAGAGGCCAGAATTTTTGTTCTAAAAATATTGAAAATTGATCTCATTTTGTAGAGCACGATGAACTCGTTCCACCTGTGCAAAAAAAATTAAAACCGAGTTAAAACGAAAAAGATATGAGCCGATTAAAAAAGCTAGAGAAAATAAAAATGATCTTTAATTCTCTATCCTTAAATCTGGATTTTCTAAATGAAGGGTCCAGATTTGGTTATTGATGGATGCATAACCCATGGTTATGCACCCTATCTTGAGCCCATATAAACCTTAATAAGTATCCTAATACAACCTATGGAATACCATATTATAATATTTAACTAATTATTGATTTTCGTCATTGGACGTTATATTTTATGACGAAAAATTGTAAAAATTTAATAAATTATATAAAAAATATTCATCTTAATTAGTTAATTAATACTATCTATACGTAAATAATCTACAAGCTATCTAATTAAAATGATAAAATCAACATTAAACTACATAATCACATAAAGAGAAAGTTTAGCACTTTGGCACTTTGACACTCCTTATTGGAGCAAAAGTCACTTTTGGAGCCAAAGTGCCAAACTAAATTGGATGATATTTCCCTATAATCTGATTTGCGGGTTCTGTCTACAACCTCCCCACATGGCGACATTCTAATGGTTAAAATGGCTCATAGAAGTGGTTGTCGGCAAATTATATAATTATTCCATAATTCATTAAACCAGGTAACTAAATGACGAGCTAAATTTAATTTGAAACAATAATTACCATTCTTGATTTTTCAAAATCATGCAACTAAGCTAAATTTAATTGGAAACAATAATGAACAGTGTTGGTTTTTCAAAATACATGGAACATGCTAAATGCATCATTTTAGGACTTACATGTTGAAGTATACATAATTATGATTTAGGGTTCATTCACTAAGGGTTAAGATTTTGATTCGTCGAATTAGTCAAAGTTTGGAAAATAGTATTATATCGTAAGCCCTTACATAAAATTTTACTTAAACCCTATGCAACATACTAGACCATTTTAACGTTTAGGTCGTATGTTTTTCCTTTTTTTTTTTTAATACATATTTGTTGGCGAATTATTAGAAAAGGGTGAATAATTTACTAAGGTGAAAATCAACCAATTATTCCATTTGGCGTTACACAGCCACTTATGGTAGCCATTTTAATGCAAAATTAAAAAAAAAAAGATAAAAAAGGAAATCAACTAATAGGATACCTCCTTGTGGGAGATTGTAGGCGGAGCCAGCAAATCAGGTTGCAGGTAAATATCATCCAACTAAATTTAGGATTTTAGCACTCTAGCTTTTGTTTATTGGAGATGGTCAGTGCTTATATACTAGTTTAGAACTAACTGCCTTAGGGCAGGTGATATTTTGATAGAATGTAATTTTATGAGTACAGTGTATATGTGATTATATCTAGCTTTCTCAATGATCTATTAAGTCATAATTAGTAGGGTGTGTAACGATGTAGTATGATCAGATCAAATTCAGGAAAACCGTGATCTAATATTAAAAGACATCTCATAATTAAGGACTGGATCAATCGTACATTCGGTTAGATCCAATTTAAATGTCAATTCGGAAGAGTATTTATAAAATTCATAAGACCAAATAACAAACTATATTATATTCGATCCGGAGTTATCTGGGTCAAGCATCAATTTGGTTCGGTCCGATACAGTACCTATCAACCTGCTGGACACCCCTGATAGTCATAGACTCACAGACGACACACCCACTTCTTTCTAATGTATATGCACTTTGAAAAAGACGTCATTGTCGAAAATGAAACATTTAGTACAAATATAATATATAAACTGAAACATTCAATTTTTTATATAATAAAAAATCTAAGATCTATATTGTAAATATTTTATTGTTAATGTATCTAAATCCGTTATATGAAAAAATGTCATTCTGGAATCCTTTACAAAAAATACATATCTATATATTGTTGGGAAAAGATTTTTGTTGTTGAGAGAATCAAAATACAATCCAACCTTATTTGCCTCAGTTTATTCAGGGTTTTTTTATACACGTTTACAGGAAAGGTAGTTGAGAGAATACAGGGTAGTGTACAAGGAAGAGAGAACGTGTACAGAAGAAGTGGGTCTAATAATAAAAAGAATGATTTATTCTTTTTCTCTAATACGCCCCCGCAAGATGGAGGAGGTGTCAACGACGCCAATCTTGGACCGCAGAAGAAGATACCGAGAGGCAGGCAATGGCTTGGTG